ATCATATGAAAACATCAAATGATTTATAAATAATTCTTAAAACCTACTTGAACAAAACCAGTTCCTCCCGAGGTTAATGAGGGGAAGACATTCAGCTGTTGCTACCACTGCCTGTGCTTTTTCTTAAGTGGTAAGATGCTTCAGCTCCTTCTCTTGCACTTGCTTTATTACTTGATCCCCTCACTTTCATTCTTGCCTTGGGGTATCTTGGGTCCTTGATCCTCCCTTCCCACACGTTCTTTCAAATACAGCAAAAATTTAAGGTGCTTTTTATTCATTCCTTTCACTTTCTGGAAAACAAATAGGGGTTGGGGGACGCTTGGCCATGTCTCTTTCTGTGAGTAAGCTATAGGAGGGTTTTCCTGCTTCTCACGGGGTCCTGGTCTGAGCTTCCTGCTGGGTGCAATATCTGTTAATTCTGTTGCTGTTTCATTTATTCATGCTGGCATATGAAGTCTTCTCCCTTCTTGGAGTTAGGCGCTAATGGGTCATGGGGAAAAAAAACCCAAATCCTTGTCAGGTGAGAGGTACTGCTGCTGCTAACCCAATTTAGGCATGTTGCAAAAGGCACAATGTTAAGAAGTAAATGCGCAGACCCCACAGGTGTGCTGTGTATTAAGGGGATAGCTAGTAACAGGCTAAAAGCACTGTCTGGGTGCACTTTGTGAGATTGTTTCTCTGCTGACACTTGGGCCACTGGATGTTTCCACTTTACCAATTCTACTTGTAAATGGCTTCTATTCCAAACAAAACCAAAACCAGTCAGATAAACCAAACAGGGATGAAATAAAAAAATTAGAGTTTTCTTTTAAAGCACAAAAGTCAGTCTATGAAAATAACATGAAAACAGGGTTTCTTGCCTTTGTTTACGCTACTGCAGACGTGTTTGCTTAGGAGCAATAAGAGTTAATTGTCAAACTTTACAATGTAGTCAAAGATTTTCTCATAAAATGTATAACAGACTTTGCCCAGATGGCAAATGCTGATATGTAAATCTAAAACATGAAAATTTCCATTGGGGGCCAGATGGTGGCTTAATGTGAATTGTTTAACATTTATGTTTATCTTATTAAAAGTGCCTTTATATGTCCAAACCAAGCTATCGCTGTGGTTGGAAGAGCATATCACTAAATGAACAACAAAAAAATCAAACCGTGAGTACAAGGCACCTCCTGCTTACACGGATCATGGGAAAGCAAAGCATGTCCTTCTTTGAGAGAAGTTCTTTCTCTGTCTACAAAATTGTGAAGAAAATATTATAAATAAAATCAAACCACTGTTTGTCTGCTTGGGAAAAGTATTAAAAACATTACTTTCCCAGAAGTTAGAAATGTTGGACAGTGGTAATGCACACATGAAATACCTTAATGTATTTCCTCTCAAAATAGGGCGTTGGTGTTTGGTGGGAAAGAGCTGAGCTCTAGGCGAGGGGGAAGCATCGCAGCTGCAATCCCTCCCGGGCACAGGTCCTTCCTCCTGCAGGAGAGGCCTGGCTGTCCTGCGCCGCCTCTGCCAAAGCCATCGCTTCCTCTGATGCAATTCAAGAAATTGCACAACGGAGGAGAGAACAAACGGGCGTTTGTGGACTCCGTCACATGAGGGACTGCTGGCACCTTTACAGTAAATACGTGTGATATTAAGGGAAGTGGTTAGCGTGGCTCCGAAGGGCAGCGACGAGCCCTGCGTCAGACGAATCTTTCACAGGACTCTCACTGCATCGTGCTCCAGTTTGGATGCAAATCTGTGCTCGCTCGTCCCTCCAGATGAATCTTTCTGAGACCAGCACATCATGTTGAGGCATCTAAAAGTCAGAGGGTAGCTGCTGCACAGGCAAGAAGTAGAATGCCTTTTAATAGCTTTAGTTAAACACTCCAGGCATCAAATACGCAGTTATTTTTGTGATGCTTTCACAGTGGAAGGGGAAAAATGCTTCAGTGATAAGCCTAAAATAGAGTGCCTGTGGATACCTCTGTGTATGTGTGTGATAGTGTTCAACAAGACAGAGAAATAATTTAAAGAGGAAGATTGTGGGGAGGCTGAAGGAACAAAATTGCAAAATATTTGCTTTAGACTGCAAATTAATTTTTTTTTTTTTTTTTTTTAGTTCTTTGCCATTACCTCGTGCTAAGCATTGTGATTCACTCCTTGGTGAATCACTGGTCAACGTTGACTCCATTAACTTTGACCTGAGGCTTTGGACTAATGCCCAGATTTTTTTTTTTTTTTCTTGAAAAGGGTAGTATTACTAAAAGCATTGGCTGAAATTATAGATAAGTGTTAAATGGCAGGTTAATATTTGAATCAGTGTGCTGTTTGATGATGTTACATATTAGCATATTGAACAGAAGAACACTTCCTCCATGCAACCCATTTGTGTGAAGAGTAATTACTTGAATTGTTATTCAAAGTTAAGGCTAATATTGCTGTATTTATATAGAACATTTCAAATTGAAAATAGGAAGGCTCTTTTTCAACTCTATGGTGATAACTAAAAAAAAAACCCTCTTTGCCAGAGATAAGATACTGGGCTAAATATGATCCCTTGAAAAATAGCGACAGGAGCTGAGCCATGTTGTATTTCTCCAACAAGAACGCACAGAGGTGGTGGTGTACAGCCATAGCATTTTTTTTGGCCAGCTGCTGTCTTTGGACATCTCATCCCACAAACGAGGCAGCACCTGAAGCTACTTATTTTGATAATGAATATAGCCAGTAGCATGACTGAAAGATTTAATAGCTGTGCCTTAAGTTTTTACACTAAGGCAACATGGTTTTTCTTCTTAAGGAAAGCATGTTATGCCTTCTGTACCTCATTTTTTTAATCATTTGTTCTTTGTGATTTAAACTGAAACTGAGCACCAGTTCTGCTATTTTTGTGCTGTAGTGTGTTGCAACTCAGGGACGAAAACAGCTCTGTTAATTCACAGCCTCGTGCATTATACACACACACAAAAAAAAACTTTGGAGTCACATTTTTAATGGTGCCTTGTAAACGAATAATTCAGAAGTGAGCCCTAAAATCCAGATCCTGCAGTTTTATCCAGAACATATTGCAAATGCTCTGAGACTAGGAAACAGTTTTGAATCTGCTGCAGAAGGAGACAGTGAGCAGCTGGTAAACTACTGGCCCTTAATGAAGCTATACCATATTGCAGTATCTCCAATTACTGCAGAACTTAATTAGTTCGTTTTACCCTGCCAATCTGGAGAGACCAAACATTGTCTTGGGCAGCCACTGTAATTATTTCAGCTTCGTCATTGCTGGCCATTAAAGCTGAGTTTGGTCTTTCCTAGCAAGGTACATTAAATATGTCTTAGATTTTGGAATGCCTGCATGGTGTTATGCACAGATATTTTATGTAACTGTCCAATTTTAGAGAAAAGCAATTTTTTTAGTAACTGGTAGAAGTAGTTCACACCATGTATAAATGAGTGCTAATGGTATAAATTTTTTAACAAAGAAATGAGAATACTGAATTGGTTTGTTCAAATGTAGACTTGCCCTAATGCTTTTTGCCATAACTTGTACAGCAGTGATCATTTTGAATGGCAACATGACTTGGTATTCATTTGCTTTTCTATTTGAAAATTGTCTTTAGAGATAAGGGAGTGTTTTAATTTGATATGGTTGCAGAATAAATGTGTCTTGGGTGTAGAACTGCTAACTGAATCAGTAAAGTTCTGTTTAAATGAAATGTGTAGTGTTTGGTATATTATTTGTAGTGTGCTAGCCTGATGAGAATGCCCAACACTGAACATTATTTTTGTGTGCTGCTGCAAAAAGATAGTTTTAAGAAAAATGAAACATGCCATAAAATCAGAACTCCCAGGCACCACCTAGAAATTGTTGTCATTTACCCATCTGATAAATGTGGCTACCAAGTTATTAAAATTCTTTATCAGCTAATATCCAGATGGATGATTTTTGGAGTTATATTTTCTTCACAGGGGAAAATAGTCCAAACTTCAGCATTGAATATTTGAACAGTAAAAAAAAAAAAAAAAAGCCACCAACTTTCTTCCCCCCCAAAAAACCCCTTATGCAATAAATTAAAAGAAATTGTAGCCAAATCAAATAATATTAACTGGGTGGTTTTCCCTAAATAGCAGAGTTTAATTTGTCTTCTGAAACACTATAGGTGCAAGGTGTAGCCAATTTCCAATAAATTTAGGTCCTTGTTAGGTCTCTGATAATGACTGACTGTGATGAGCCAGAGGCCAACTGATTAACAATATTTGGCACATATTGACCTCTAGTTTTATACTCGGCTGCTCCAAATCAACTGCACTTACAGCATCAACTTAGACTAAGCTTTGAATGACAATTTTTTATTGCTTTAAGAATTGTGGTTAGTGCTACAGTGATGTTATATCGCTTGGTGACTTCGAAACCCGGTTATCCCCCGACTCTGAAGCCCTGTTCTGCTGATCTTTAAGATTAATACTTAATACCAGGATGGAACATAAATATTTTAAAATACATTTTGCAGTATGGCTATTATAGTTACTCCAGACAGCCACCATCATGTTTCTAGTCAGCTTTTACAGTTTTATAATACCACATGGAAAAAAACTTACATGGGCAAACTTTTCAATTTCTGGTTTCTTTCCTCCTAAAAATTACTTTCTAGAATTCATTCTATAGCTTCATGTTTTCTATGTGCTAACTTAGGAAAGAAGAGTATATTTATCATCTGGCTTGTTCATCTATTACCTTACCAATTGGAACAAATTGCTTAGTTTCTGTGAACCTGTGTGCAGGTCACAGCAACGAAACCATCAGTTCACACACTTCAGAAAGGTTATATAGAGCTATATTTTATTTATTTATTATTTTATTTATATTAAATATATTTTAATATATATCTATTTATTATTAGAATAAGCCTCAGTTACATGAGTCTACCTGTTTGATACAGAACTTAAAAGCTTTGCTATTGTTCTAAACAAGTTTTGCTGGGGAGTACGCATGCTTAAAAAAAGCATTTCTATTACAGGACATGAACTTGATTGACATCCTTTGGAGGCAAGATATAGACCTTGGGGCAAGGCGTGAAGTTTTTGATTTTAGTCAACGGCAGAAGGAGTATGAACTCGAGAAACAGAAGAAACTTGAAAAGGAAAAACAAGAGCAGCTCCAAAAAGAGCAGGAGAAAGCCTTGCTGGCTCAGCTGGAGTTAGACGAAGAGACAGGTGAATTTGTTCCAGTTCAGCCAGCTCAGCACATTCAGTCAGAAAATACTGAGCCACCAATTGGTTTTTCACAGGTAAATTCTAATATGTGTTTGTGAGTGTGTTGAAACCTTTTTCCATTCACAGGAAGACATAATGTTAGTGGTTACCTAAAATAAATTTGCATTCGTTGCTGTAATGGAAGATTCTTCAGTTATTCAAAGATGCAGTAATATTTTTTCATAACTTTCCTATTTAGACCACACAGACTTCAAAACCAGAAGCAGAGGCCTTGTCCTTTGATGACTGCATGCAGCTCTTGGCAGAAGCATTCCCATTTATAGACAACAATGAGGTAAAAATGCTCAATACAGTGGTTTCACGGGTGGTCTTCTAGGGGGATCAGTCTCATGTCTTCTCTTACTAAGATTTGTCTTTGCTGTAATACTGGTTTGTGATATGATTTGAGTGTTGTTCCCAAGCTGACTCCAGCTGCACTAAAGCAGTGTAGTAGGCTTAAACTAGGGCTGCATCCGGAGGGAGTGGGGTGGAACTCTTGTATTCCTTCTGCTTGCTGAATCCTGCAGCCAGGATTCGGTGTATGATGGCAGCTGATGGCAGCCATTCCAGGTACTGCAAATAACGGTAGTGGACTTCGTCAGTTTGTTACAGTGAGCTTAGTGCAGCTCTCTGGAGTTAGTGCATTTGAGCCACTTTATTTCCATGTGCTGACCCAGACTATTTAATGTGTGAAGATAAGCCCTTCATCAGCTGCTTTCTAGGGTCTTTTTCCTATTTCTTTCCTTAACATGAAAACTCCTTTAATGGGAATATTTTTGTATTATCCCATTATTTACAAAAAATGATTTTGTTAAGAAATACCTGCCTGTTTGTTCTGCAGAAATGGTAGAACACCAAAACCTAGATTTTTGCTATGGAAAATTCAGATTTCTTTTTTTGAGTGTGCTTGTTTTTGGTTTGTTTTGGGTTTTTTTAATTTTTGTTTTTTTAACACTCCAGGCTTCTTCAGCTGCATTTCAGTCACTGGTTCCTGCTCAGATCGATAGCAACCCAGTCTTCATTTCCACTGATCAAACTCAGCCACCTGAATCACCTGTTCTAGTTCCACTTACTGATGCAGAGAATATGCAGAACATAGAGCAAGTTTGGGAAGAGTTATTGTCCCTTCCAGAATTGCAGGTAAGGGTTGAGTATGATAAGCACCTGAAAAAAATAGCATGATATTTTGGAAGAGTATGGTATTTTGGAGAATGCCGTACAATAGCATCTTAACAGATGGTGTTTATAACTATCATGGTGGATCCTACACCTGTAGGATGTCTATAACTTAATATGAGCTTTTATTTTTTTCAAAATAATATATTGAAAAACATGTAGGAGGAAGAAAATCAGTTGTTTATCAGACAGCCTTAATAAAACACAATCTATCTTCCCATCAGAACTTCCCCATGTTTAAAAAAAATCATTGTTTGCCTCTGTACGCAACTTCTTGCAGCATGATCATGGTTGAAATTTCAGCTGCTTAAAAATGGACACTTCTGAATTATGGATGTACAACACGAGTTGTTTCTACAAGCGGTATTGTAAACGTGTGTGGCTCTTTTTTGCTGTGAGTAGATTGTGTAAATCACGGTTACTTTTACACTCAAATTTTATCTAAGGAAAAGGTTTTGTAAAGATGGTAATAGAACATATGTTTAGATACACAGAAGAGTCAGGGATAGTTACATAACTACTGTTTATACATGTTCAGTAAGAGCTAATTATGTAATGTACATGAACCAAATATTTCAAAGGAACAAAAAAATAACTTTGCTATAGTACTAAATTGTGCATTACAGAGGATATCTAGGGGTTTTTTTTCTGCTTATCCTTATGTCTCTATATTTTCCTTAGATTTCACTATAAAAGTGAGTAAATATATTTTCAAAAATATTATTGTACAACATGATCATGCTTCAGCATGATGCTGCTCTACTTTCTGCTATTAACACAAGAGGTGACTGCTCGGTAGAATGTCTGTAAATCTGAATATTTAAAATTTTTTAAAAAGTAAGTGTTTGCAGGAAATGCTTTTTTTCCTGCAATCCTACTTTTTCCCTTCATATTTTTATGTTTTTCAAAATTTTCCTAGTTTCCTAATCCCTACTGCTGTGGCAGGCTTAAAAGCTCCACATAAGTAACAAGGGCAATTGGCTGTGAAGAGGCAGCAGTGATGCTGAAAATACATTAAGAAATCAAAGCAAAATTATTTATTGCAGTAATTCTGAATAGTAGTTGAATAATCTTCTGAAAGAAGTGAGATAATTAAATTGAGGGTATCGTCTTTTACGAATTATGTTTGAAGAACAGAAAAAAAAAAAGAGCTCTCAAATTCAAAACCTTAGCTTAAGCCTTGAACGATCTCTGGCTGAATAATCAGTGTGTGGTCCCTTCTTAAGAGAAACAGAATCATTTTGGTAATTGCCTAATTCTTTGGGGACAGCAGGCGCACTTATTTCAGCTTCAGTTAAGAAACTGCCACGCTGTTGGAAAGACCAATGTGTCTTGTAGCCAATGAAAGCCCATCAGTGTAATAGTCTTCAACGCTCACACTGATGTTAGCCAGCTTAACTAAAAGTATGTGGAGTGAGTTAATGTTTGCAAGGCTTCATGTTGGTACTCCTTTTACTTCACTGAGAATTACATTTCTCTGCACTGAACAGCTGCTTCATTCAGTAAATCCTAAAAGAATCTCGTTTTTTGAGCAAATGTATCACATAACATGAAACTAAAGAGTGTTAAAAGTAATTGTTTGCTAGTAATGCTCATTAAGTCTCAGTCAACGATTTTGCAATTGCTGCACTCATGCCATTCCTAGCAGTGGTGCTTGTGAGAAGTTCAGACCTGGCAGCTCCGGGATCCCCACTAGCAGTTTAGCAGAACAGGAGGGCCCCGTGCAGCTTCCATATAGCGTTGGAATCTGTCTCTTCAGCATCTTGCTCTGAGGTTGAGAGGCTCTGCTGTCCTAAGCTAAATTGCTCAACTTCTCTCTTGCATTTCCCATGTAGTGTCTTAACATTGAAAATGATAACCTGACTGAGGTAAGCACAATCACAAGCCCTGAAACCAAGCCAGCAGAGATGCACAGCAGCTATAATTACTACAGCTCATTACCCACCATGAGAAAAGATGTTAACTGCGGTCCAGATTTCCTGGATAGTATTGAGGGCCCCTTTTCCAATGTGTTGCCACCAGAAGACACCAGCCAGCTGAGTGTGAACTCTGCAGATGACTCGTCCCCTTCAAATTCTGATTTCTGTGAGGATTTCTACACCACCTTTATTGATACAAAGGCGAACGGTGACACAGCAACGACAAACACTATCAGTCAATCACTTGCGGAAATTCTAAGTGAACCTATTGATCTTTCTGATTTCTCACTGTGTAAAGCTTTTAATGGCAACCACTCAGGAACCGCACCAGAATGTAATGATTCTGACTCTGGTATTTCATTAAATGCAAGTTCTAGCGTAGCATCGCCCGAACACTCTGTTGAATCATCTGCCTATGGAGATAAGACTTTTGGATGTAGCGATTCTGAAATGGAAGACATGGATAGTGCCCCTGGAAGCATGCCGCAGAGCAATGCTAGCGGGTACTCATTGCAGTTCCAGGATCAAGCGTTTTCTTCCGCGGGGCCAAGCACTCAAACACCTAGTTTGCAGCGTACAGACACACCAAAGAAAGAACCCCCCGCCAGTCCAGGCCACCCCAAAGCTCCGTTCACAAAAGATAAACCTTCAAGCCGCCTTGAAGCTCATCTCACGAGAGATGAGCAAAGAGCAAAAGCTCTGCAGATCCCTTTTCCTGTTGAAAAAATCATCAATCTCCCTGTTGATGACTTCAATGAAATGATGTCTAAGGAGCAGTTCAGTGAAGCCCAGCTTGCACTTATTAGAGATATACGCAGGAGAGGCAAGAACAAAGTGGCTGCTCAAAATTGTCGTAAGAGAAAACTGGAAAATATAGTGGAACTGGAGCAAGACTTGAGTAACCTAAAGGATGAGAAAGAGAAATTGCTCAAGGAAAAAGGAGAGCATGACAAAAGCCTTCGTCAAATTAAAAAGCAACTAACCACCTTATACCTTGAGGTCTTCAGCATGCTACGTGATGAAGATGGGAAGTCTTACTCTCCTAGTGAATACTCACTGCAGCAAACTAGAGATGGCAATGTCTGGCTTGTTCCTAAAAGCAAGAAGTCAGAGACTAAACTTTGAAGGGCAGCACAGCTGGCTACTGCTCTTCAAGTTGTTATTTTTGTATCATTACCCTGATAGTTTTTACTGTGAGATGGAATGTGGAATTAAGTAATATTTTTCAGATGGAATGTGGAATTAAGTAATATTTTTCAGGTAATTCTATGCAATGATGATTTTAAAGTTAATAATTAGTTTATGGAAGAGGCAAGTTTAAAACTAATGGTGTAATGCAGATGGACATATGCAAAATTTGTAATCTCACTTTTATAACAGACATTTCCTTCTTATAGCACCACTTTGACTAGTTTCCATATACCTGTAAATATTTAAAGATACCATATTTATATACTGTTCCTATCTCTTGTTATATTCATAGATTTATTTGAGAGATATATTAAAAATTATTTTAGCCTTCTGAATATAATTTCTTGCAAGACAAACAGTCTGGCTTCTGATACTTTTTTATAAATATGCAATAGTATTTGTTTCCCATTGTTCTTACACATTTATACTTGCTTTATATTTAATATATGATTTTAATTTAGTATGAAAGTTGATACTTTGTGTTTTGATTTTGATTTACCAGTTCATTAAACTTTATTTTTTAACTCTACTTCACACACATTTATTTCCCTAAAGAAGGGAGATCCTCACTAGTTTTTCAAGGCTAAGTCCTCATGTACCAAATATGCTTAATAACCAGAGTTGTATCACACGGCATTGTCAGCATTACTGATGCTTCATTCAACATAATTTTAACTGCCATTTGGAAGGATTGTGTAACATAAAGTTAAGTTTCAAGTCTATGCTAAGTTGGCAGAATTTTTGTTTTGCTCTTTGAACACTACTTAAATTCATGATGAGATCTTTCTGCCAAAGGCATTTAAAAATCTGTTAATTAAGATGTCGTCAGCATTATGCATTTTTCCAACTAAAAATTCTGTACACTTTTGAGTAATTGTTCTAGAAACACACTGTTTCTGTGTGTCTCTGACTCCAATCACTGGGCATCGTTTGTCACTGCGATTACTTTGGAGTTTATGGGAGAAGGCATATTAACTGCCAACCAATGGCACTATTTGGAACCTGGGCTCAACTAACTGAAAAGCGTTGTGGTGTTTAAATTATGATTTATAAGAGAATAAAAATTGGGCAAACAAACAGCATTGTTTTGTTTACTCTTCAAATGGCCTCTGTACTTGATCTTCTGAATACAGAAAATGCATAATTTGTAATATGAAATACACATATCAATCTGAACATTAAAAACCATATCATCTTCCTTCATCTTCCCTATGAAACTACTGAAAGGCATATTTAATCTGAAATTTTTTTCTGCTACCTGTGCTCTGTATCATTTTAGGAATATTTTGTCTATACAATATTATGCACAACTTCATTTAGTATAATAAACATCAAGTTGTCTTGCAAGACCTTATTGTACATCTTTTTTAAAGAAGGAACCGGAGATACTGAAAAAGGGTAGAGTAGGACCCATGAAGATAATCTCATCTCATGGCTGGCCATGAAAGCCAAAAGAACAATTTATATTATCATAATCCCAATTCTGTACTTTATCACTTTTTATGAACCTTCTGAGTGTCCTCAAAGAAAAACTAAACCCAAAAAGGAAGGGTAGGGGGCTGATACAGAAAGCCATTGTCCTGATGAATATTAGTCTGTCATAGGATGCTATGGAAGTTCTCCTGGTTTTGGCTGTTCCATGCTGTTTGCTGCTTTCATACAACCCTAGTGACTCCAAGCCCTCTCGCCTGAATGGCATTAACGAGTTTGGCACCTACAATTACATAGGAACCAGTTTTGGTTTTACCTATATGCACAGAATTTCAGATGCCGTTGTGTTGTCCAGTTGGCGACAGCAGTATCAGTGTAACACTTCACAATCAGCTTTTACTACCCCAAATAATTTTGTATTTCCAATCTTTGTCACCTTGTCATTCATCTTCCTGTTAACTCATTTACTGATTCTGAATAGCAGAGGCCTCTAGTACCCAGTGCACGCACGCATACACCCACTCTCCCTCTGTTGCACTTCATCTGCAGCGCAGCCTTAGCTAACCAAAGAGCAGAGCAGTAACAGCAGCTTCCTTCACTGAGAAAGTAGTTTTGCTCCAGGGCAGTGTAACACCAGGAACCATCATCCTATTGACTACATCCTCTTTCAAAGGCAGGTGTAACGGCCAAGTGCCAGTACCAGAAGAAAGTCTTTGGTACCCAAACCCCAGGGCTGTGAGCTGCTCTAGCCCTGCCTACCTTAAGAGAAAAGTAATGGTTTCACACAACTTCTCATACTGCATTACTTGCTGCAAACTTTCAAGGGAGGTCCCGCCCCACAAAATGGTTGCATCTGAGGCAGCAGATAGATACAGTGAAGTCATGAAAAAAACCTGTAGCCTCACATTTCCAACATTCATGGAAGTGCTAGGAACCCTGCCCGTTACATCGAGTAGTTAACATTTGTGTTCTTGCAGAAGACATTTATTGGGAAATGTAAATCCAGGTGACCCAACTTGCACTTTGAGGCTGCTTACCTTGCTTATACTGACCTTCTTCCTTGTTAGCAGTGTGTCAGTCCATCCCACTGCACAGTCCTTGACATACTCTGAATGCAAGAGGACTCCTTTTTGGAGGAAATGGTCAATACCAACAGTTGAAAACTTAGAGGCAAGATTTGGTGGATGAAGTAGGATTATTCGCTCTAGGTAGGGCAGCCAAGCTAAATCAAAGCTATTGCAGTAATGAGGGATACTTTTCTTGCTGCTGTTGTTCAAATGTGCCTCTATTGGGTTTGCCACCAGCACTGCCTAGGGAGGAAAACACCCCTAACAATTGCCAAATGTCGGCAAAACACTAGGGAAACATGAGACTTTGCTGCCATTTAAAACAAGAGGATCTAATCCATATTTAAGGATGGCAATTTTAGAGCATAGGCATTAAGGAAGAGCTATGGCTCCAGTCTTTCAACACTGATACACAGCGGTAGGTCTGATGGCAAAGCGCAGAGAACCTAAAGAGGAAGAGCTCCTGGGCTCCCCTCCCACACCATTAACTAGGCTATCAAATGTCTCTGACTTACAGAGAACATGTTCTCTCTGGCTGTAATAGAAATACCTTAATTACAAATTGGCTGTAAGACAGAGACCTCAGTAAACCCCTGCCCTCCTCTTCAATTTGTTCCTTATTTTAGCACTAATGCGAAAGCCGAAGGCAAACAGCATCCTTGCAGCCTTTGCAGGGGCTGTTGTATTTGTACTACTCACACATCTAAAACCTAGTACAGGGCTACTTACACAGGGACCACGACAGCTTGCATCCAGTTTAAACCAGTATTTTTCATGTCATGAACACAGTACTCTCATCAAAACACCCAACATCGTTAAGGAAAAAAATACGCCACATTAGATTATTTTGGTATATGTGAAAACGTCAGATTGCAAACTATATCCTTCATTTATTATTATTACTGAGGTACAGAGTATGTTCTCAAACCCGAGAGCGACTAGTGACATTGCCAAGTCTAATGCATCACCATGCTGACCTCACACATTGACAAGTCTCCACATGAAGACCATTTCTTTCTTGACCAAAACATTCAGTTTTGAAATTGTTAAAAATAAAGCCGAGGAGCTGGGCTGAACCAAGGTTTTCTGACTTGCAGTCCCAAGTTGGAAAGATGATCCTGTAATGCATAATGTGTCGCAATAATTTAAGACAACTTTGCATTCCTCGCAGCACTGAAAGAAGGTGATGGCAACGCATTTTAGATTGTAAGTCATTTGACAATATACACTTTATTCTGATACAAAATTGACGTATTTTAACAAATTTCAATCCATTATGGACTATACTGGAATTTTTAATTTCCATGCTATTTTAAAACTTGTTTAACCACAAGTTCTACGATTGCAGCACACTAGCACCATTGCTCTTGAAGTCTTTGCCAGTAATTATAACATATTATTCTGTTTCCAATCTTGCGATATTATCTTCTACATGAAGGCCATTTTTCTTCTACGGAGATACTTGGATTACTTTAGTTCAGGAAAAAGCTAATCTTAGATAGAGTTGTCAACCTGTAGCACCCACAGCAGAAAAAGAATCATCCATCAGATATCTGAATTTCAGTGATACTCAAGATCTTTCATGCTCCACACAATTTAAGATACAAACACTTGTCAGAGACCACAGACTGATATGTAAGTGAATAGTCCACTGCAGTGTAGACAGTATATGAAAACATGTTAATGAACCAAAGACAGCAAGTCAGTACATGACACAATCAATGCTTGAAAGACTAGGAGCATTCCCCTTCCCACCTTAAATATTTAAAGGATTTCAAAGTTAAGACACTGTGTTTAATTTCAGTGTTCTATAATAACAAAACACTTAGCACATCTGCATCAACCTGGGCCCCTTTTGGGGAAATACCTATTTACTACATGAAAGTACCACTTGGTTTTGGTACCAAATAAGCTTCCGGAGAACTGCAGCTCAGGCACCAATGCTTTGTTAACTTTACAGCTCCACCTGTATTTACAGCTACTGTTTTCAATAGCAGCCACTATAGAAAAACCTAGCCATGAAACAATATTCTTTACTCTTGTACAAAGGTAACGCTTGACCAAGGACTCCTTAAGGGTGTGTTTATTTTTGACAAAGTTTACTTCTGAACAAATGGGGGTATCAATAACTGAAATGAAGCAAATTAGTCTGACAAGAGTGTTGTAAACCCAAGTGTGAAACTAATTCTAGCAGTGAATATCTAGTTCTATCTGTGACGCAAAAAGACCCCTCCAGAGCACAGAATGAGTCTGCAGCAATATAGAATCCTCTCATGTTAAAGAAAGGTAGAGCTTTGCTCTATACAGAGGCCTAGTAATGGGATGCAAACTAGAAAGAGCTTTTGTTAAAACATTTTCAAAATTTTACTGTTAAAAAATTGTGACGTTCTCCCTCCCCCAAGAACAAAAGCACTTGCCCTCAACTGAGTAATTGTGAGACACACTAATGCTTTTCCCCATTACCTCTTGCTACATACAGATGCCTAGGTGAGCTCAGAAGGCAACCTCTGCAGAGCAGAGGAAGAACGAAGGTTTTCCACCTCCTTCTTACACTAAAGGTGTAAGAAAGCAAGCTTGTCACCTCAGCAACAGCTGGAGAGACTGTGACCTTACTGCAGTGATTTCAAATTTTCGCTCAATCTTGGCTAAGGAAAAAAACATTTGTCAATGTTTCTTAAAAATGGATACGGTCATTGTGAGATTTCCATTAAGTAGCTCCTGATTGTATGAAAATCTCAACATTAACACAGTAAATTACTTCCAAGTTAACTTTTAATTGTACGTTACAGTGTCAAGAGTTTGCTTTCTGGATGTTTACAGACAGCAGGTAACAAGTTTAAACACTTGAATCAGTCTGTGAACATGCCTAAGCCCCAGGTTAAACTGAAATGCAGAAGTTCCATTTGACTTTATTTTCTGAGTAACTGAAGCACAACCAACGCTAAAAACAGAAACTGACTTCATGCACAGACTCAAAAATGTATTGGCACATTTAAATAGGTACCATACTACTATACAGAAGGAGTTAAAAATAT